TGGAAACTGAGACCAGATGTCTCGATGTGAAACAAGAAGCAAGTTCTCATGTATATAACATTGGCTTGATTTCATGTTTTATATGTTTGACTTGTATAAATTGTAAGGGTTGTAACTTGATAACAGTATACACTTTATATCATGTGACTGAGACAATTACCAATTATGCATGCATATGATTGCTCATTAATGATCATTGTATACCCTGCAGGCCCGTAGCCAGGATTTACCTAGGGGGAGTGGTTTTACCAAAGGGGACTTTTTGCCTAGGCAGGGGGGAGCTTTTTGAGTTTTGGCGAAAAATCTTGCGAAAAGTGCTCAGAATAGTGAACAAGAAAAAACTACATGATTTTAAAAGAATTTCTGCCTCGAGTGGAGCTGCCCCTCCCTCTGCTCCCACCCCCTGCTCCCACCCCCTGACTACGGGCATGCTCTGCTTGTTTATTAATTATAATTAGACATATGCTGATGCATTTTGTATTATCTGCTTCAGGATGAGCAAGGATGGAAAAAGTGGGATGGTGCAGTAAGAATGTATAATCCAGTTTTTCAACACACGACTTTATCACAGAGAGTCAGACTGATTTATTTTTCAAACAACAGACAGAGGTAAGGGCCCTAAATTTTGATGACTTTTATTATCAGACACTTGGGTGCTAAATAGTAATCAGTTTGCTGGTCAATGCATAGGCCGTTGGGCAGTCATCCCGATAAATCTTGTCTAGGCTACAGATTTCAAGCCAAATCAGTCAATTCAGCTAATCAGTTTAGGACTGATTACTGTATTTGTCACCCCCTGTCATATCTTGTAACATACCATGTCACTTACTGTCATATATCGTAACTCACCGTGTAACTCATTGTCATATCTTGTAACATACTGTGTCACTTACTGTCATACCTTGTAACAATCCATGCCACTAACTGTCATATCTTGTAACATACCATGTCACTCAATGTTATATTTTCTATCATACCATGTCACTCACTGTCATATCTTGTTACATTCCATGTCACTCAATGTCATATTTTGTATCATACCATGTCACTCACTGTCATATCTTGTTACATTCAATGTCACTCAATGTCATATTTTGTATCGTACCATGTCACTCACTGTCATATCTTGTAACATACCATGTTACTCACTGACATATCTTGTAACATACAATGTCATATCATGTATCATTCAATGTCACAAACTGTCATATCATGTGACATACCATGCCACTCACTGTCATATCTTGTATCGTACCATGTCACTCACTGTCATATCATGTATCATACCATGTCACAGACTGTCATATCTTGTAACATACAATGTCACTTACTGTCTGATTTTGTAACATATGTCACTCAATGTCATATCTTGTAACATACTGTGTCACTCAATGTCATATCTTATATCATTCCATTCCACTGACTGTCATATCTTGTAGCATACCATGTCACTCACTGTCAAATCTTGTATCATACCATGTAACAGACTTTCATATCTTGTAACATACTGTGTCACTCACTGTCATATCTTGTAACATACCACATCACTCACTGTCATATCATGTATCATACCATGTCACAGACTGTCATATTATGTGACATACCATGTCACTCACTGTCATTTATTGTTACATACCATGCCACTCACTGTCATATTTTGTAACATACAACGTCACACACTGTCATATCATGTATCATACCATGTCACAGACTGTCATATCATATCATGTCAGTCACTGGCATTTGTTATACATACCATGTCACTCACTGTCATATCTTGAAACATACCATGTCACTTACTGTCATACCTTGTAATATACCATGTCACTCACTGTCAGATCTTATAACACCATGTCACTCATTGCCATATCTTGATCATACTACGTAACTCACTGTCAAATCATGTAGCATACTGTGTTACTCACTGTCATATCTTGTAACACCATGTCACTCATTGTCATATCTTGAAACATACCATGTCACTTACAATCATATTTGTAACATACAATGGCACTCAATGTCATATCATGTATCATACCATGTCACTGACTGTCATTTTTGAAAAGTGGCCATAATTTTTACTTTTTTTTACTATAACTCGAAAAGTAGTGGAGCTATTTTCTTCATATTTGGTATATGAATACTTTAAGCATGGCACACTGTCTAATGATACTTTGGGTAGTAGGCGACCATTTTGAAAAATGGTGACCATTTTTACTTTTATAACTATAAATTGAAAAGTAGTGGAGCGATTTTGTTCATATTTGGAATATGAATACTATAGGCATGGCACACTGTCTAATGACTCTTTTGATAGAAGGCGGCCATTTTAAAAAATGGCCGTCATTTTAACATATTTTACTATAACTCGAAAAGTAGTGGAGCGATTTTGTTCATATTTGGTATGTGGTTACTATAAGCATGGCACACTGTCTAATGGCACTTTTGGTAGAAGGCGGCCATTTTAACGTATTTTACTATAACTTGAAAAGTAGTTGAGCAATTTTGTTCATATTTGGAATGTGAATACCATAAGCATGGCACACTGTCTTATGACACATTTAATAGAAGGCGGACATTTTGAAAAATGACCACCATTTTGAAAAATTGCCGCCATTTTAACGTATTTTACCATAACCCGAAAAGTAGTGGAGCAATTTTGTCCATAATTGGTATATGGATACTACAAGCATGGCACTCTGTCTAATGACACTTTTGGTAGAAGGCGGCCATTTTGAAAAATGGCCACAATTTTAATGTATTTTACTATAACTCAAAAGGTAGTGGAGCGATTTTGTTCATATTTGGTATGTGAATACTATAGGCATGGCACACCGTCTAATAACACTTTTGGTGGAAGGCGACCATTTTGAAAAATGGCGACCATTTTTACTTTTATAACTATAAATTGAAAAGTAGTGGAGCGATTTTGTTCATATTTGGTATGTGAATACTATAAGCATGGCACACTGTCTAATGACACTTTGGGTAGTAGGCGACCGTTTTGAAAAATGGCGACCATTTTTACATTTTTTACTGTAACTCAAAAAGTAGTAGAGCGATTTTGTTCATATTTTTATATGTGAATACTATAAGCATGGCACACTGTCTAATGACACTTTGGGTAGTAGGCGACCATTTTGAAAAATGGCGACCATTTTTACTTTTATAACTATAAATTGAGAAGTAGTGGAGTGATTTTGTTCATATTTGGTATGTGAATACTATAAGCATGGCACACTGTCGAATAACACTTTTGGTGGAGGCGACCATTTTGAAAAATGGCGACCATTTTTACATTTTTTACTATAACTCAAAATGTAGTAGAGCGATTTTGTTCATATTTTATATGTGAATACTTTAAGCATGGCACACTGTCTAATGACACTTTGGGTAGTAGGCGACCATTTTGAAAAATGGTGACCACTTTTACTTTTATAACTATAAATTGAAAAGTAGTGGAGCGATTTTGTTCATATTTGGTATGTGAATACTATAAGCATGGCACACTGTCTAATGACACTTTGGGTAGTAGGCGACCATTCTGAAAAATGGCGACCATTTTTACTTTCATAACTATAAATTGAAAAGAAGTGGAGCGATTTTGTTCATATTTGGTATGTAAATACTATAAGCATGGCACACTGTCTAATGACACTTTGGGTAGTAGGCGACCGTTTTGAAAAATTGCGACCATTTTTACATTTTTTACTATAACTCAAAAAGTAGTAGAGCGATTTTGTTCATATTTTATATGTGAATACTTTAAGCATGGCGCACTTTCTAATGACACTTTGGGTAGTAGACGACCATTTTGAAAAATGGCGACCATTTTTACTTTTTTAACTTTAAATTGAAAAGTAGTGGAGCGATTTTGTTCATATTTGGTAAATGAATCTTATTTGCTTATTTCAGGATGTATGACATGGGTAATCAGCATGTCAAAAACATATAGATAGAATATGGTGGAATAACAGCAGGGAATAGATGGAAAAACAGATTGCATGTGGAATTGCAGCAATACTTCACCTGTATTTATCGTGAAAAACAACTTTTATTTAATGAATTGCCGCAATACTTCACCTGTATTTATCGTGAAAAACAACTTTTATTTAATTCACTGGAAGGAGCTGTTGACAGATGAACAATTAGGATGATAAATGATATGAGATGGCTTGAGAAATGACAACATTACATCACCAGGATTTATATACATATATATTAGCTGATTAAAAAATAAAAAGACATATACAACAATAGGCATAATATATGATACAAGATGGCGCACAAGGATTTATGTACATACTACAAATCATATTCATAGATACTTAAATGATACCAGATGGAATGATGATGTGTGACAGTTGTGATTCTTATAGACCATGATATGAGTCAAGTGTGGAGATGCCCCCTCCCCCACACACAAACAATAGCATTATGAATCAAGTGTGTACATGCCACCCCTCCCAATAGACTTTAGCAACATTTCAAAGATTAAAGACTGATGTTGATATAATTCAGTACAATGATGAAAAATGGAAATTTTTTGCAAGGGTTATATAGTATGGTAATTACATAGAGATGTGTGATGGCTTGATAGCATATACTTTGATCAGCATTAGTCAAGTTCTGAAATCACTTTATCCCGCAGCAAATTTTTTTACCCAGCGCCGGGACATGTCAGTTCTCAATCAATTATATCCCGACGTTTGCAAAAAAAAAATTACGGGACAGTGAGTTTGAGAAACTGACTGTCCCGAGGCTCAGTGGTACAAAGTGCTCATACGGGATAAAGGTGTTTGCAATTGCGACTATCCCGCGAGCCCTATAAAATTACGTGACAGTGTATCTGTGATTCATTATATCCCGCTCTGTGAAAAACATTTGTCGGGCTCGGGACTAATAATCAGATCTTTATTTTTACTCGCTTTTCAAGGTTTAAGTATTCCATTAATGACTTTAAACTTACCCTTTCATTTGATATTTCAACATTTGAAAAGAAAACGGCAGACGAAAAAATACATTTGTGGCCTGCTGGTAAAGTGCAGTACACGATCCGAAGATTCTCTCGCGATCACCTTTGTGAGTATAAATAACAACAAGAACGCTGTCAATTGTATCTTCTTAGGTTTTGTTTCTTTTGATCCTTTAAGTGGACACAGAAGTAATTGTTCAACATGTTTCAAAGATAAACCTATAATATAAACAGAAGGTCTCGTAAAACATTTCTTATGATTATGCTGTCATGATTTTCTACTTAATACTAATACTCCACCAGCTTAATTTGAAAATGTGATCAATTGGTCCTTCATCTTCTGAATTTATGCCAATCTCACAATTGCAATTTGTTTTGATTCGTTCTATTGTAGCACCTGCAGTTATCGCAAATCTTACCGCGGCCATGGCTGAAATAAGCAATAAAACTGGGAACTGTATAACATTTGAAGAACTTAAAGGAACATACGGATGTTATCCAGGCCGACGTTGTATCAAATTCGGTGAATCTGGGTAATATCAAATATATCTGTCTGGTATGTAATTTAAATTAACGACATTGATATAACCAACTCTGAATGATTAAACCCAGATGATAACGATACTGTATTCTTTTAAATAGGTCTGCCAGTTGCGCCTCAACAGTAGGAATGAAAAGGGATCCAAGAACATCAGTTTCTACTTGTCCCACTGTTGGTGCCATAATACATCAGCTTCTGCATATTCTCGGAGTGAATGATCAACACACAAGACCAGACAGAGACGACTACATTGATGTTCATTGGAACAATATTTTTAGTAAGGATGTACCTATTCAGTATTCATACTCCCTAATTCTCATAACAGTTGGTTCATATATCTGATCTCTTAAATAGAATAAATGCGAGTGTCCCTTTTGTATTTGCCCATCCTCTAAACGTTTATACAACATAGCAGCAACTTTCATTTAGAGTAACATTAATGGCACAATGGGACCAATGTGGATCAATTGAAAATGTAATATACAAACACACATAATGGTTGCTTGTAGAATGTTACAACTCAATTTATTTAAATATGTATATAATGTGTAAGCATAACCTTAAAGGCTCCGTGTATAATCTGAAAATATATTTTTATCATTCATTTATCATTTTCGAGGTTTTAAAAGTTATTTTAGAGATTTAAAAAGAAGAATTGGGAAAAAGATTGTCAGCTTTTATATCCCAAACATTCAAATTTCTTTCAACTTTTTAACTTTTTATTGTCAACAAGTATTTCATTGTACAGTGCAATCATTTTAACTTTTCAACGAAAGTGTGAGGAACAAAGGACATACTTTTAGATAACATAATTAAATCCCTGGCAATACCATCCCACGTGAATGTACTCGATCAACTTGAGTTATTGTGAGAAAATGAGGATTGTGTGCCTATCCCCATGGTGATATATATGTTGATATCCAATAGTATTCAATAACCAACCCAATTTTAAGTCAATGCTAAAATCTCCATTTTGTAAGAACTCAGTTGATCGAGTCTCAACTAGTAGATTCACATTGGAATGGTTCGAGGTCGCCTCCTATGCTAATTTCGATTACACAGTTAACAATATCCATGTATATAAAACTGCTTAAGTCATTCCATGTATATTTTTATTTTGAACATTAGGAACAGGAAATTTTCGGCGCAGTTTCAAGAAGAGGACATGGGACGACTCCCTTGGCATCCCTTACTGCTATAACAGCATAATGCACTATGACAACTATGCATTCGCTAGAACTAAAGGTGTGAAAACATGAACTGCAAAAAGACACTAACATGACACTTGGTCAGGATGTGAAGTTGGAGGAGTGTGATATCTTGCACCTCGAGAAGTTGTACAAATGTAAAAATGGTACGGTATACGTTTCTTACTTTAAGTACTGTGTTCAATTGCATTTCCTAATAAATCTATATAATCATAATATTACTTAGTCTAGAGGTAATAAAATATCGGACACTTTGCATCATCATGGTGAGCATATAGGATCACACACATAAACTAAGTGTTATATACAGTACCAAAATAGGGGAATTTAATTGGCTTAAATAATATTTTTATGTACTTACCTGAACCGTGTTAAAGAAACTTTTTTGATTATGATATCTCAATTTACAAAAACAGATTTTATGATGTAGAAATGAAACAATTGAAAATTGAAATCCAATATGTCTGAATCTGTGTTGATAGCTCTCAATCTAAGAAAAGTCATTACATTCCATTATAATTACATCACATAGCAGAACATAGTATAGCACAGCACAGCACAGCATTACATCACATTGCATAGTATAGTATAGCACAACACAAAATTACATTACATTACATCTAATAGCATAGCACAGCACAGCATTACATTCCATTATATTATAGCATATCATAGTGTAGCACACCACAGCACAGCATTAAATGACATTACATCACATAGCATAGCATAGTATAGCACAGCACAGCATTACATTACATCACATAGCATAGCGTAGCAGAGAACAGCATTACATAACATCACATAGCATATCATAGTAAGTATAGCACAGCACAGTACAGCACAGCATTGCATTACATCACATAGCATTGCACAGCATTACATTACATTAAATCACACAGCATAGCACAGCACAGCATTACATTACAATACATAGCATAATATAGCACAGCACAACACAGCATTACATTTCATTTTCGCGCATAGCATAGTATATCACAGCACAGCATGAAATTACATTACATCACATAGCATAGCATAGTATAGCAGCATTACATTATATTGCATTACATTACATTGTATTACATCACATTACATACCATAGCATCGTATAGCACAGCACAGCACGGCATTAAATTACATTACATTACATAACATCGTATAGCACGGCACAGCACAGCATTAAACATTAAACATGCATTAAATATGCATTCTTGAAACTTTTGCTACCATTCACGAGTCATTCAAATCTGATTTCTATAATGAACAATCACAATGTTGTCACAATTTTCTCGTGATTTCTAGGCTACAAATAAAACTAGAAATTATAGAAATTATTTTTAATATTGCAATTTTAAAAGCTATTTTTCGGGGGAGCGAGTCACATTTTTTGGTGTATTATTCATTTCAAATATAACACAGAAAATATTTAAACTTTTAGCTCACATTTGTTCTTTTTAATTAAATATTGAGTTGATAAACAATTTTAAATCACATTCATACATCTAGTTCATTTTGTTTTCGGAATGTAGGATAAACAGAGAAGCAGTGAAAATTTTAACTTAAATGAAAATCACATAATATCCTTAATATATTTCAGGAGAATCTGCCCTGCCGGAACAAAACGATTCTTACCGAACGCGTCATGGTACGTCACAAACAAGTAGATACGGTTCAAGACCCAGACATTCGCATAGAAGACGAAATCCAAGGAGGATTGGCTCCCAGAATGCAACACCGATATTCTGCAAAACAATCACCTAGCGATAGCTTTGTTGGAGAGTATCGGGTCATTCTCCATGCAGTCGTACAAATTATACAGACACGAATAGCAAATGACGCATGCGTGGAGATTAAAGAATATCGAGTTGGAACCCTGGCTTCCAATCCTCCTTGACGAAATCAGTATTATTGATCGGTAGAAGATCTGGACAAACTCGTGACGTCACGAGCACATAATTGAAGGGTTCTTGGATTCTATGATGTTCATTAGATTTAATTATTGCTTATTTCCTTGTCAAATAGATGTCATAAAATATATCATTAACTGATCAAAAAGAGATTATGGTTGCAACGATTAATATAAACCGCAATGTAGGGAACAGTTTCGCCAAAATATATCCAAATCAAAACATTATATTCATACTAAGGCTACAAGTAAGGTTTTTGGTCATAACGGTATATACTGAAGAATTGTTATCTTGGCGAAGTGGAACATATATACAGAATATATCCTCAACGTTTTCGATGAATTAAAACTTACAGCGAAAATAGGGAACGTTTGATTAGGGTATTGTACGGTATCGTGAAACATGGTACAATGCGGTACAGTAGACTAAAATGGTACCGTACAGTACCGTAAACAGTGTACGGCGCCATACTCAAATGGACCGTACGGTACCATACTCTTAATATACCGTACGGTTCCGTGATTTAAGAGTGCGGATTGGGGGTAATATGACAAAATACCATTAAATGCAATGGAATACCATGGTAAATCAAGATACATCATAATATCTAACCATGAGAACAAAATTTGTCATCGCCTATCCATTATTTTCTGCAACGGAATTCATTGAAAACCCATAGCTTATATTCCGTTGTCAAATATATTAGGGGCACTAGGATCGTTTGAGCAAAAACATCCAAATCCTTGATTATTTTTCATTGAATCGATATCATGCCAATTTTAATGAGCGTGCTTGGGTGCGTGCGTGCACGTGGGTGCATGCGTGCGTGCAATAGGGAATCTCGAATTTTCATCAACTACATTCATAATAGCTATATAGCAATCATTGTATTTCAACAAGTAAATCACAATGGAATCAACACAGCCCAGGAGATAGCAAAATAAATTAATCATGGTGTTCTTTGAGCAAAAGCAAAGCATAGCCATGATCGGTACCATCCAATCGGGGGGGGGGGTTCGAACCCTTGAACCCTTCGTTGTGTGGAAAAAGATTATTGACAGAGTCATTAAAGTGTCTTTCTAAGACTTAGAAGGAGAAATTTGAGATTTCGAGCCATATGTCTCAAGAAAATGCTCTTACCTTTCTAGTAGGATGAGTTCAGGTGCCAAAAACAGCTGATCAAAGGATATATATCATTTTCTAATTGAAAATTTTTGTTGAGCCCTGCATTTTTAACACTGTTTTGACAGGAAGTCTTACCCAAAATGAAAACTGAATAAAACAACATTTATCCTAAATGTAGACCAAAATACTTACTCAGACATGCAAAATGTTATTATTAGTAGTAATGCTGATCATTTTTAAGAAATTTAAGCATGCAAATAAGACTTTTTTCGTCCATGATTATATACATAAAGAATTTCATCTATCAGAAAGCTTTGCCACTGTGGTGTAGTGGTTAGAGCTTTGGGTTCAAACAGAGTTCATATTACTCAGGGACCCAAGTTCTGAGAAACAGCTAGAAAGTGAAAATGGATATTGGAAAGTATTACGCGAGATTTTTTCAGTTCTTGTTGGAAAATAAGTTACTTTTATGATGTGGGGTGATATCTAGAGTTTGAGACTTGCGAAAATAAGATATCTTCATCTTTATACCCCCCGCCCTATAATTTTAGGGGGGTCAGAAGAAAATAGACTTTAATTCATAACTTTGGAAGTATATGAGATACAAACTTAATTTTTTCACCAAAATTTATGAAATAACATCAGTAATGAAGAAAAAAATATTTTGAATGAAAAAAAGCTAATTTGCATAATTTAACCCTTAAACTGCCATAAAAACTAGTAAATGACGAAATGATGTTACATCACATTTACTGTTATTGCCTTCATATGAAGTTATAACTTATGAAATAATTCCTAAAAATGCATCTATATATGTATAATAAATGTGCAAGATATTAGAAGTGTATCTTAGATAAAGACTGTGAAAAAAATTCTCCCCCTACCCAGATTTTTGAGGGGAGGGGGTCAAATAAAAATGGACTTTAATTCATAATTTTAAAAGTATATGAGGTAGAAACTTAATTTTTTCACCAAAGTTTATGTTATAACATCAGTAATTCAGAAAAAATATTTTTGATACGCAAATAAGTTAATTAGCATAATTTAACCCTTATACAGTCATAAAAACTGTTAAATGACGATGCGATAAAATACGACATTTACTCTAATTGACCTCTCATGAAGTTTTAACAAATAAAGTAATTCCTAAAAATGCATCTTTATATGTATAACAGATGTGCAAATATTAAAAGTGTATCTTACATAACGACGCTGAAAAATATTTGTCCCCCTACCCAGATATTTGAGGGGGGTCAAATGGAAATGGACTTTAATTCATAACTTTGGAAGTATATGAGGTACAAACTTAATTCTTTCACCAAAATTTATGTTATAACGTCAGTAATTCGGAAAAATATCTTGATATGAAAATAAGCTAATTTGCATAATTTAACCCTTATACAGTCATAAAAAACGTTAAATGACAAAGTGATGAAATACGACTTCTATGAAGTTATAACTTGTGAAATAATTCCTAGAAATACATTTACAACAGGTATGCACAATATAAAAAGGGTATTGTATATAATGAGTGTGAAAAAAATCTCACACCCTACCCTAATATTTTAGGGTTGGGGGAAGTTAAAAGAAAATAATAAACTTTGATTCGTAACTTTGAAATCGTATAAGAAAGAGCTTATACATGTATTTCTTCGCCAGAATATTGAGAAATTGCATCAAGAATGAAACAAATATTACACGGAAACAATATTATACTAGTAGTAGTAGTAAAGGAGGAGGGAAATTAGCGCAACAGATTTTGGACAGTCATATTTTGGATTTTGGCCATTTTCTGAGGATTTAAACGATTGCATATGTAAGGCCAATGCATTACCTCCAGCAAAATCACTTCTAGAGATGATAAAATAATTTCGACTTTGAGACAGGCACACTACCCTACCACGTGACCACGTTTAAAAGGGAAACAGGGTACAGCTAAGTTGCAAATGGAGGACGTGGGTTTAATTCCATATTTCTGAACGTAAAATACATTTTACATTTATTTCTAGTGTTCTACCAGACATAGAATTGATTCATCAAGCAGTTTGTAGAATATTGTTGGCTAAAAACCACTATAGGCAAAGATAGATAATAGTGGGCGCAGTGAAGCAAAACGCAATGCAATACACGATACATTTCAGTAAATCTGTCAACGTACAGGGAGCATGTAAGTTTCCCTTCGAAAATGTTACATTGATATGTAACAACACCCCAGTAAACTGTTATTTAAACTGCGTGTCATCGTGTTATATGTGGATACGTTTTCCAGTATGTTATTCAACTGTACTTTTGTGAATTAATTGTTTTTCTAAAATCTTAAGATGCAAAAAAGTCGTCCCAGAAATGTATCTTTACTTTGCTGTAAGGCATAACATATTGTGAAACATTTTTCCTCTTGTCACAAGGAGGATAATGTTTGTTTCGAGGTGTCTTGTGATCAGCGTTTCATGATTAAATGCAAAATCACTGGAGCAGATACCATCCAAAAACATCTGACATTCAACACGTCATATAAGACTACATCGATCTGGTATTAGTTTTTTTTACAATAATAGAGAAATACGACGTCATATCACCTCTACAGCAAATCGTGAAGAACAAAATGTCTTGGCATGATGGTATTTTGAACAAACTATTTTAAATGATCGGTTTTTGAGGAAGGTAGTGAATTAGACCATTCAAGGGGTTATATAGAAAGATTTTTTACATGTAGTTGACGCAATTTTCATTATTCTGTAGTCATTAATCCTGATAGCCGATAGTCATTTATCACTTACGTGTTCATATTTAATTTCGTTATTTTATTTCAATTTGATACCCTAGTAACACGTATAATCTAGCGTTCTTGTTAACTTAGTGACTAAAATGCATATACGACGACCTGAAAGCCCGTGTCTAAATCTACTAAATAATGTTTACTTTATTTGGATTAAATAACAATTGATGACACCTCAAAGCATCAACAGGCGGCCTTTTTAGTATTATTTTCACTGTTTGCAACGTAAATATACATGAGATCGGGACATAATATGTCTGTATAATCAGCTTACTTTCTCGCTCCCTGTACTATTGAACAATTTACATTCCTTGTACCCTGTATTGATCAACTTTTGCAGCTGTGTACCGTGTACTATGACATATCAAATATTTTAAAATTTAAAACGATATTATTTACATTCTTTCTTCAACTATCATATAACTTGGAACATGGACTTCACTATTGCACCACTGAAGTTCAGCGAATAGCAATATTGACTCACTCCGAGCACCAAACGTATTAACCTTTTGACTAAGCAGTCGATATACTCAAAAGCGACCTGACTGAAAGCCAAAAAATTCGCGCATGCGCTATTGAGGAAGGGTAGTGTGACAGGGTAGATGCAAACAACCACCCACATGTTTTTTCTGAAACGTTTTCCTAATTTTCGACCCCTTCCACCCCTGCTTTTTCAATTTTTCTTGCATCAATATGTTGCATTTTGACACATAGTTAACCACTTTAAAGGAATAAGTGATTCCTTCAGGAGTTTTAAAGATACCCATTATGGGTGACCAAACTTAGCTGAAAGCAATGATTTTTCCTATGGGAAAATAACGTGGGAAATATTGTTTTCCACTTTATCTAAAAGGAATCATTTATTCCTTTTAAGGGATTATCTGTGTGTCAAAATGCAACATATTGATGCAAGAAAAATTAAAAAAGCAGGGATGGAAGGGGTCGAAAATCAGGAAAACGTTTCAGAAAAAACATGTGAGTGGGTTGTTTGCATCTACCCTGTCTCAAAGTCGAAATTATTTTATCATCTCTAGAAGTGATTTTCCTGGAGGTAATGCATTCGCCTAACATATGCACCTGTTTAAATCCCCAGGAAATGGCCAAAATCAAACACATGACTGTCCAAAATCTGTTGCACTAACTTCCCTCCTCCTTTATTAATTAAAGTCTAACGCACTAAAGATGTTACATTAAGATACATACATGAATTAAAACAATTCCTGGTTGATGCCGACCTATTAGAGACCATCGCATGTAACTATTTCACGACTTTTGACTAACATATTTATCATACATTTTCCAAGTGTCCTTTGAACAGTTTTTTTTCATTCATTATTATACAATATTTTCCTAGACTTGTATACATGTAAAAGTCACTATGGATATCAGTCATTTAGGCAAACAGACTTAATCGTTCATTTTCAAACATATGACATTCTACTTTAAAGTGAGTTTCTGTCTCCATTGACTGTCCACATTGGCACGATCTCTGGTCTAGGGGAGTTGCGTTATTTTTGTTTATATTTCAATATAAAAACAAACCATCATTGGATGTATTACACTTGTTTGCAGCATCCAAAATGATATTAGAGCATTACCACTAATTATGGATGCATTTTTGGTTTATAACAATTATACATTTCAATGAATGCTGACAAACCACTTTTTGAGATTCCAGAGCCAGGGAATGGATTTGGATGTCAAGTGGTTCATATTACTCTTGAGACCATTAAAATGACCAAAAAACCGAAACTTGGCAAACGATACAAGGACAAAGCAATATGTTAAACCACTTGCTCATGTGCCACTGCAGGTACAGAATGTTTTGCTGTATGTTCATGCGGCTCAAAGGAAAGTGAGTGTGGACGGGAATAAGTGAATTAACCCAAATATATATGATGACATTTTCACTGCATCAGGTACCTACAACCTAGAATATGACACCAGTCCTCACAGTGACTCTGATTATGGTTCAATAAACTTTAGAATTGTTATGGTTACCTTTTTAAGGGTTATTCTGAAACATTGCAAGTTCAATTCAACTCAATTTATTCATACATTTAATCATTATGTGTACACATATTATTAATAATAGGTGGCACCACAGGTGATGCTTAAATACGTAAATACGTAAATAAGTAGTTAAATCATGAAGTATATCATTATGTTGTCAACGAATCAAACCGGAATGTAATCACAAAAGTTAGATAATAATAAATAAAGGTATGGGGGATCCATGATGCTCGTTTCATTTGAAGCCAAGAAGGTGCCATATGCCATGGGGAAATTTTATGAATGTGTAGCTTCATTAATTATTATTTAAAGATGCCAGGCTACCGCATTGACGCAAATAATCTTTAAAAGTGTGATTCTTATAAAATGTTAGTTATTATTTTACCTTCCCCAAAGTTGGTATGGTCAGAATTATTATTTTAGATCTTAATAATCTTGGTATCTGCTCCAGTGATTTTGCATAATTTAAGCTTCAAACAGTCATGAGAATCATTATAAGGCAAAGTGGTTCTATCAAACATTTTGGCCATTAATTGGTAAAATGGTAACTGATGTTTTAAATTATGGTTACAGTAAAGGACAATTAATTTTCTCTCAGAGATTAGGCATTATAAAGTTGTTACATAAGAAAAATGATAACCAAATATTAAGTAACTGGAGCTTAATGTAGACTACAAATTATGTGCCCACATTTTAGCTCAGAGACTTCATAAAATATTACCACTTATTATAAATCAAGATCAACAGGGCTATATTAAAGGAAGATTTATTGGATATAATATAAGGCTAATAAATGACGTAATCAATTATACTAATAAATATAGAAAAACATTAGATTCTGCTATTATTTTTGCAGATTTTTCAAAATGTTTTGATTGTTTGGAAATTGACTTCACTCTAGAAGCATTAAAGAAATTCAATTTTGGTACTAGTTTTATTTAGTGGATCAAAACTTTGTATAATGGAATACTATGTCTACACCTAACATATATGAAGATACATTAATTGTTGAAAAAGTTATTCCAAAATTAGTGAGTGTCACCCTGTATAAAAAGAACAAAATGGGTCATAAGATAGATCCATGCGGAGCTCCTGCAGTTGACAGGTGAATTTCATAATTATTAAACCTACACAAACTCCCAATGTAGTATATGGTATGACATACCGTAACGGTAAGGTACAACACAAAGAATGTGAATTTGCGCTAAACAGTATCTCGGGTAAATGTACCCGTGCGTTATACCCTATACTACATTTGGAATTTATTTAGGTTTAATTATGAAATTCACGGTCAAGTTCACTGTCTGTTCACTGGATGTTGTTACAGACATTCAAATCTAAAATATCTAGAAACTAGACCAAATCTTTCTGAAACGATGAAAACATCAGTATTGCATCATCCTCGTGATGTACCTTACCCTGTGCGTACAACTGTCACGCTTAATTTTATCTTATTAAAAAGTCTCAAAAGTACATAAACTAGTGAGATGGCTTCTTGCTTAAGCATTTTATTATCTCATCAAAACGAGGATACAGGAAAACTGTCAGAACGTTCATTCATCTTCCTGTCCCACTGTCCATGTGTTTGGGCGATAACTCAAATACTGGTTGACAAATTTGATTCAAATTTTACAGGCTTATGCCTTTCGAGCAAAGGACAATTTAGCTTAGAAGGAATTTTCAAAATGGCCACTCAGTTGATGGATTTAGTCCAAAGTGTATATGTTGATACCTAGGGACAAAGGAGTTATGATAAAGAAGAGATTTTCAAGCGGGTCGATAAATTTCAAAATGGCTGCCATTATTCATAACAAAAACATTTTCAAGATTTTAGCTAAATTGCAAGATGGCACCATTCTTTGTAAAATAATGTTATCGTTTGTAACCCAAATACCAGTTGGTTTGGTTAAAATTGTATGCGCGATATGTTGATACCTAGAGACAATGGAGCACTGCTCGAGAAGACATTTTTCAAGAGGCCATTGAATTTCAAAATGGCTGTCATTTTCAGACAACGGAGCACTGCTCCAGAAGACATTTTTCAAGAGGCCATTGAATTTCAAAATGGCTGCCATTTTCAGAAAAACATAATCTTCAAATACCAGCGGACTGATTTGACTCAAAGCTGATTCCTAGGGAAAGAGGAGTTCTGTTCAAGCAATTTTTTTCAAGATGGGGGCTATTTATCAAAACATGTTTTGTTCGGTGGAATTTACTACTCCGTGGAGTGGCTGTGAATCAGGACCAGCTTTGTCAGTCTTTAGTGCCAATAAAATGTTAAAATCTTCAGTATTTTCCGTTGAAAGAAGATCCAAGAAGGTATCAATTCTACAACCCATTTAAATATGGTATAAAATTGGTTATTTCCATTCTGGTCATTATTTACTCAAAATTGTATTTCCATATGGATTTATTAAAGAGGGTTTTCATCAAACATTAAATGTCATTACTGTCAGTACTGCGTCAACCCCCAAAGACTTTCTCGGGGGACAGATTTTTTAGACCCAGTGCCCAAAATTCCTGGGATTTGCGGGACATCCACATGAATTTGTCAAATTTCGCGGGACATTTATGGTATTTGCGTGATTGCAAATTTTGATCGAAGGTCCATGTGCAGTATGCCAAGTGATTTTAGGCAGTCATATCTTTCACCATGAGTATTTTCTGGGTTTAAATACAGTGGTTTTATTAAAATAATGTGTTTTCTTTAAAGCGAAGTCCCCATGATAGTAAAATACCAATCCAACTATCCGAAAAATTATGGATTAGGACCCCAGTTTGTCACTTTTTTTAAAAATGTAAGGCTTATTTTCTAAAAAGAGGATCTGTTTTTCTCAATTTAAACGTATCAAAAGTTTCTTCTCCACTATATTAATAACTTCTGAAAAGGGCATGGGTATTGAAATGCGATAAAGTTAAAAACCACATTTCCCATGTTATTTTCCCTTATATTAGGGAAAAATCATGCTATCCATTGTTTTTAGCATGATTTTGGTCATCGAAGATTGATATCTTCAAAACTAGACTTTCAATACCATTCTACTTTTGAAGATGTTTTAGACCCCTTGTTGAATAATGTTTTCAATGCAATAAAAATAAGAAAAAGAAGATCCTCTTTTGAGCAAATAAGTTCAACATTTTGAAAAAATTGTTGACGTGGGGTCCCTATTTACAATTTCTCAAATTGTTCAATTGTTATTTTTATCATCATGGGGACTTCACTTGAAAGATAAACAAACACTCTAATTACGGGACAGTTAACAGGGTAACCACCAAAGACTTCATCGAGGGACAAATTTTTTAGACAAAGTACTAAATTCGCGGGATGTCGGGGGACATTCAAGGGATTTGCGCGATTGGGACTTAATGTAAAAGTACTCAAACCAACTTTCAGATACTGATGATTAATCAAATATAATGCACTTAACTTAAACACGGTGTTAAATAAACTTCAACACAATCTCACAGAATATGCATAGGAATATTATTACGTAGTTTCCGTTATATCTTCACATGTCGTTTACATTTAAACATAAACTTCAGGAAAAATGAAAGCACTGAGGAAGAGTAAGTAACGCATACAGGTTTTAATAATAAATTAGTGTTTACCAAATTCAGCGTTATGCGTACAACTTTTGTAATACTTTATTAGGAGGTCAAAGCCGATATTGCGGGACTTTGTGGGACATTGCGGGACACGCGAATTAGCCTAATTTTGATCAAATTCGCGGAATAATCCCGCCATTTGCGGGACACTTGACAGCTCTAAAATGATGTTGGATTTAGAGGTTATGTCACTATCGTGACATATATGCCCGAGTTCTCAGTGATATATGGCCCGACCTTGGGAGGGACATTGATCTCTGAGAACCGAGGGCATATGTGCCACAATAGTGACATAAACGATTTATAACATACCTATGATGGTGTAGACTGGTCAGAGAGTACCGTTTTCTTATCGAATTGACAAACAAATGGTTTGAAAATGATTGAAATGAGTTAAGAAAAATTGCTCGCGCAGTTTTATCTTCGATTGATTGGTTATGACATCAGCGCCTTGACAAATCAAAAAGTTAGCGGGCGCGGGCTTTTCAAAACTTATATTGGCCCGCTGTCTTGTGTACACTTTGCACTATACATCAGCATAGGTATGTTATAAATAGAGGATATCCTATGATTTATGAGTGATATGATTTTTATCCACGAATGGATATGATATCTGCACGAGCGAGCGTAGCGAGAGAGTGCAGATATCAATATCCATGAGTGGATTAAAATCATATCACGAGTAAATCATAGGATGTTCTTTTTATTCCATAGTTAAAGTCATCATCAGAATTGTCGGAAATTAAGTCATTTAATTCGAATTTTCCAAACGATCCGGCGATGTTGACACTTAGCCTCGTTTTGAGTCTGAAGTAGCAAAAATCCATTAACCATCGCATACGACGTCGTATGTCATGGCTAAAAAACCGTATGCTATGGTTAAGTGAAAATTTGTCAAAAATATCATATTTTACCACTGATTACAAAAATACCGTTTTTATTTTCACATGTTATCCAATGAATATCATGCTAACTATGGAATAATGCTTTGTATTTACCATTCTTCTTGCATTATATGGTGTAAAATTAGAATATTGGCTCTCTTTGAAATTGTGCTATTGAATATAGTTTCCAATATAATGTTTACACTTAGAGATTGCTTTTTTTCTGGGCTTCTTTAAAGTTTTTAGTAATTTCCCTAATTTGATGTTTATACTTAGATATTTAGCATTCCAGGATTATATTCCATTTGAAGGTTGAATAATAATCATGCTTGATAAAACGCATTATTTGTTATAAAAATGTTATTTTGTGGGAAATTTGTGCAATGAAAAATGGGGTATGGGAACTTTATTAAGACAATTATATTGACCTAACATCCTTCCATTTTGGCCAATAGGGTTTATTGTGCCAGTAATTTCATCCTTATTCTCCATATATCATATGTGGCAATTTAGATATAATATGATAATCATTGCTACATCTAAACAATATCATGTTTGCAACTTAAAATCTTGAAAAAGTTGAAAAATACTCCAAAAATAGCGAAAAAATGGGAAAAGTAAAAAGCATGTAAAATCTTGAATTCTCAAAATCCCAGTTATTTTATTGCAGATAATGAAAGCCCTAATGCTCCTCTTTCCAACAGTAATACTCACTGTACATGGGACATCTGGCTTTTCTGGCAAATTGGATCCAAAGATGGTTGCCATTTCGTCTCTATATTGACCCTCATGTTTACAACTAAAATCACGAAAACCTTGAAGAAATGGCCGAAAACATCGAAAAAAAAGTTAAAAGTAAAATGCTTGTAAAATCTTGAAAACCCAAAATCCCAGTTATTTTATTGCAGATTATGAAAGCTCTAATGCTCCTCTTTCCAACAGTAATACCCACTCTACATGGGACATCTGGCTTATTAAACAAACTGGGTCCAAAGATGGCTGCCATTTCGTCTCTTAATTGACCCATGTTCCAGAAAAGGCTCCGTAACCATGGCAACCATTGTGACGTCATAATAAACAATACATATGAACTCTTCAACATGTCTCATATACAAATCAAATAGTTATTAACTGGTTTTGGATCATCTTCTTAGCATACCATAAGCTGGAAATACATCTTTTTTCACTGATTTTGGTGCATTTTCTAGGTTGTAAAAATACAACAAACATGGGTTGCTTAGCAATGGTGTCATACACTAACCAATCATCTGTGAGAAAAATGAATGACATATTTTGGCTTCCCAATGGTCATACTTTCATATAAGAATGAAATTTTTGAAATATAAAATTTGACCTGTGCCACCTCCTGCCCCCTTTTTACAAATAGTGCCTCTTAATAGTTTTTTATGGCGGTTTAAAGTTTAAATTATGCAAATTAGCTTATTTTTGTTCAAAATATTTTTTTCTCCATTACTGATATTATTTTGTAAATTTTGGTGAAAAAATTAAGTTTGTATCTTATATACTTCCAAAGTTATGAATTAAAGTTTATTTTCTTTTGACCCCCTCCCTTCAATTTTAGGGTAAGGGGAGAAATATTTTTCACAGTCGTTATGTAAGATACACTTTTAATATTTTGCACATCTAATATACATATATAAATGCATTTTTAGGAATTATTTCATAAGTTATAACTTCATATGAAGGCAAATACAGTAAAAGTTGTTTATTATCATTCCGTTATTTAATAGTTTTTATGGCGGTTTAAGGGTTAAATTATGCAAATTAGCTTATTTTCGTTTGAAATATTTTTTCTGCATCACTGATGTCATTCTATAAATAATGGTGAAAAAATTAAGTTTGTATCTCATTTACTTCCAAAGTTATGAATTAAAGTTTATTTTCTTCTGACCCCCCTGAAATTATAGGGTGGGGGGTATAAAGATGAGGATATCTTATTTTCGCAAGCCTCAAACTCTAGATATCACCCCACATCATAAAATAAATATATTTTCCAACAAGAAAATGAAAAAATCTCGCGTAATACTCTCCAATATTCAAAAACAAAAATATTCAGGCTGGGTCCCTAAGTATATAGACTTTTATTCCAAAAGATCTGGGTTCAAATCCCACGGGTGGTATATTTTTTATTCTTTATTTTATTTTTTTTCATTTTGATCCACAATATTTCTAAAATAAATTTTTATATATGGCACTTAAACCATATTTAGTATTTCCAAGGGTTTTAATTTTTAGATGAAATCATAGAAAGTTACTTTAACTATATTTTGACCACAAACCTAAATATAGGCCTTTTGGTCATCTTTTGATGTATTTTGGTAATCAAATTAATATGTTAACCTAGAAATTAAACATAAACTGAATACATGGACATAATATGAAATGAGTACATTGTAAAGTTTACGTGGTACATTTATGTCTATATATAGTAACAAAACAATAAACGAGCAGTAAAAGTAATGAAGAGCTGCCATCTGTATAAACATTCACTACGCATTAACGATGCTTTAATAAAATGATAAAATTCAATTGTTTGGAGTTTGGAATACATATTGTAATTAAATATCGTCTCGTTTCAATATATTAATATATGAAGTAATATTTGATACTGTGAAACTCGATAAACAGACGAACTAAGGCAGCAGGGATGCGACTTCCTGTATTGACACTCATATGTTTTTTAATTGTTTTGATTTTGGTAACTTCTGAAAGTAAGAAAGACAGAAAACAATGTAAAGATAAGCACCCAACTAAAAAGTGCTATAAGGAGGATAAGAGATGGACTTGTCCAAACACATACAGATGCATCAAAAAGACGAAAGATTGTTGCAGATACAAGAAACTTCCACCTGGTTGCTCTCCATTGATTGATCAAATAACTGGAGACCCCTATCGATGCCAAGGTGGAAATAGTATAAGATGTCAGGATTTGGGGGACTATCACTGTTACACTCCATCATCTAACGTTTATTCCATTTGCTGTGAGAATTTTATCTGCTACGACAGATCTGCAAACATTCGTAGAAAGTTTGATGGTGAATGGACAGAAGCTGACAATTGTACAGTGTGTAAATGTGAATCTCACAATAATACTCTATGTGACGAATCGAAATGCGGTAACAAATGCGGTAACTAATCTGATATTATCTAAATACATTTGCATTATCACAAACTGCAACTAGTATAGAATGTGTGTCATCTGCTATTTACCTGTTTTTACTGGCTCGTACAAGACGAGTCAATCATTCTATGATTTCGCCAAAAATAAGTCAAGTGGGTATTAAGATTCAAAAACAAAAATTAGTATTCGGCCTTTATTTGAAGAAAATAAGTGCACTTGCTAGAACATTCAACAAAACAAAAATATGTGTAGAACCTGTATATGCTTAAATGAATTGCTGCTGAATTTCGATCCCCTCCTTTCATTCAATATAATGATCGAAGAGCTTGAATTCTCCAGGTCTAATAAACCCACGTGGTAAAAATCTCTATACGTCTTTTCTAGGTGAATTTTCCCAATATTCGCCATGTCCGTTGAATTCATGTGGCAAACGGATTCAGATGAGAAAATGCAGCAATTCCAAAAACGACATGGTATCACAACGTAACTCTGAACTGAACATGGCGAATTGTTCTCCCCCGTCTCCTGCCCAATGCCCACAGCCAGGTGTCGCTATTACAAATGCAGGTTCAATAATTATTGGGGGAATAGAAGTATCTCCAAAGTTCAACTATAGATGGATGGTTTATTTTGCAAAAAACAATGAGACAAAGTGCGGTGGTTCGATTCTCAGTCCAATACATATATTATCAGCGGCTCATTGTTTCGGTTTTAGTGAAAGATCAAAATTTGATTTAGCAGATGTTGAAGTTAAAACGGGAAAACATGACACCACCAAGTATGAAGGTCCCCTTGAACAAAGACGAACGATTAAAAATGTAAAAATTCATGAACATTTTGATATGTTTTCTTCAATGGATAATGACATTGCCATAGTTACACTTGCTTCACCGCTTCAATTTAATTATCATACACATCCAATTATTCTCCCGAAGAACACACTTGAAAAAGCTATAAAAAAGACGACACGTAAAGGGATATGCAAAATTATAGGATGGGGAAATACGATCGGTACAAGGACGCCATCCTATTCAGATGTTTTATTAGAGGTTGCAATTAATCTTGAACGAACATGTTCTTCTGGCTTGGGTGGAGTGGTCACAGATAACATGTTCTGTGCCAGTGCTATAAACCCAAATAAGACAATTGGGGCCAACAGACTGGATTCGTGTTTTGGAGATTCTGGGGGGCCTTTAATGTGCCGCGAGGGGGTAAAGTGGTATCAATATGGTATTGTAAGTTGGGGTCCTGTAAATTCATGTGGGAATGCATCGGGTGTCTATACCAAGGTCCCTAAATATGTAGACTGGATTACGGGCGTAATTTCAACACCTGGGGGCTGGGGAAATTTCAGTGAATATTCTCCATGTTCGGTATCATGCGGGGGTGGGATCAAGTCCCGAGTGAGAGCATGTACAAACCCTGTGCCCATCGCCAATGGAACATGTTCTGGCTACAACTTCAAGACTACTGATGGTGAAATGGTCCACATAGAAGATGAGGAATGCAACACGAATCCTTGTGCCTAATCGCCCAATGAGACATAATATAGGCCTATTCATCAATATGAACACAGGGGCGATGATTGAATATAGTACATAGTTAAAGTGTTATAAATGTCTTGCAATAAAGTTATTCTGTTCCAAGATCTATACAATCATGTACCTTGTCAGTGGTTAAACATGCAATTTCTATGTCTCCTACAAAAAGCGCAACCCAAAGAAATCGCTATATCTTGAAAAATACTGGTTCAATTATGTTCATATTTTCAGGAAATAAAGAAGAGACTGTGTATGAACAGCTCCTGTAAATGGTTAGTTGTAAAACATGATGCCTTGGACACCTGCTCAAAAGACAGTTGTACGAGGAAAATACAAAAACGCAGTCAGGGGTGACAGCAACCGCGAAAAAAAAACTTCCTAACCAAAGTGTTTTGGCTCTTCAAATTTGGCACAAATCATCTTCATTCATTGTATGGTAAATCTGTAGAGTGAAATCAAAATCACTTCAGGGACTTTACAGTTATGGTTGAAATGCTTTCAAATCGCAGTCAAACGCCCTGGTTCAGGGAGACTTAAGAAGCCATTTTGACCATGACTGTAAAGTCCCTGGAGTGATTTTGATGCAACTCCACAAATTTACTACACCTTAAAAGAGGATAATTTGTGCCAAATCTGAAGTGCCAAAACACCATGGTTAGAAAGTTATTTGGTTTTATTGCTGTGGCAGTCACCTCTGACTGCGTTTTCATATTTTCCTAGTACAACTGTCATTTGAGCAGGTGTCCAAGGCATCATGTTTTATAACTTACTGACAACAGGAGCTATATATACACAGTCTCTTCTTTTTTTCCTGAAAAAATGAACATAATTGAATTAATATTTTCCAAGATATAGTGATTTTCCATTCACGTTTTTCATATTTTGCTAGTACAACTGTCTTTTGAGAAAGTGTCCAAGATATCATTTTTACAACTAACTAACAACAGGGGCTATACATACACAGTCTCTTCTTTCTTTCCTGAAAATATGAACATAATTGGATTAGTATTTTCCAAGATATTGCGATTTCTTTGGGTTGCGTTTTTTTGAACACTTCAACCTATCGAATATCAAATACAGGGTGTCAAATAAGTCCTGTCCCCTCCTCTACAGCCAAAATCAAGATATTTGTTACCAAGTGTGATATATCATTGGAAAGGTCTTTCAAAGTTACGTTGATTAGCATATATCCGACACATGTCAATCAATCTTACAAATTTTTACATTGTATCAATTGAGATGACCATAGGCCTAGAAACATGGCAATTTGGCGTATTTGGCAGGATTTTAAGAATCAGGTATAAGAAAGGTCAAAGGACCAAAAGATGACTAAATATCTACATGGCAATGAATTTTACCAATTTCTGAATAGGGTTAGATGTATAGAAAAAAGAGGTGCAAGGAAAGTGGTGAAAACCTTTTTGTAGCAAGTGGAAAGCGAAAAAGATTAACTTTTTGACATATATCTGAGGCCATATCCTTGTCATTTTGACGCAAAAAAGCTGCTTAAAGGAGGGTACGTTAACTATAAAGGACATCATAAAAATATAGGTAAATTTCATCCAAAATACTTGAGAGTTGGTGAGTTAACATAACTTTTGATGATCTTTCCAAAGGTATATCACACTAGGTTCTGTCTGTTAAGGTTTTAGCTGTAGCAGGGAGGACGGGACTTATTTGACACCCTGTACATTCAAAATAAAAATCAATATAAACACCGACGTTACAAGAGGCAGGGTTGTCTTCGAAAATGTAATTTGTAGTTTGCTTTAGGACTATATTTTATTTATTTATTTATTAATTTCTATTTATTTCTCATATCACCCTTTATAGGATATATAGAGTACGCAGTGTTGTAAATCAGGTATACCAATGCTATAGGTTGAATGTCGAATGGATGGGTGAGTGGTCGGTGGCTATTGTGGAGTATTAAAAAATTGTAATTTCGAATATGCCCACAGACATAACCCATTTGAGTTGATTGTTGATAGGGTGCATGGCTTGGGGTATGAATATTTGTAATTTTCATTGTGCCTTCACTACAAATACTTAGGTTATCAAGGTCAGGTGGATCTAGAAACGCGAAAACTGGAAACGTAAAAATTGTTAAATATACATTTTTGTTAATATTTTTGGCAATTTACCGCTGATAATGAGTTGTATTTCAGTTATATTCCCGGGAACGGATAAAGGGACAACCGAACCAAAGATTGGTCCACAATGTCGTGAGTTTGTTTACCTCGGACACTCGGACTAACAATACTGTCAATACCTGTCAATACCTGTCAATACTATACCTGTCCTGGTCGGCCCAGAGCATGCGTATTCGGATTTGTCTCACGGTCCGACGCATGAGGAGAGCACTGTATCTAAAAACTGTATCGTGCCATTAAATAGTTTAAAAAGGAAATGGTATATTATAGAGTAATATCATTCTCTTGCCGGTTATAGTATAGCTTTTACACACATACAAGTTATTGGTCCAAAAGTGAGGGTTACCAGGTTACTTAACAGATGCTATTTTCTAAATAAAAGGGAATATAGAAATGATAATACCCAAACGGCCGTATAGAGTGTCTTGAATTGACCCTAGATACTGTGCAATGTCAGTACCAGTATCCAAGAAATTTGTGGCATCTGGGAGTGACAAGTGGACTATATTCTTACGAAATGTGACATCTACAGGGTGCTTGATTTGTAGGGATCCAAAGTATAATATGTCCAACGCGTAAACTATCAAACGTATGGTTTTTATATTTTAGGCATAAAAACCTAATATTGTCCTACATAAGTTTGCAAAAAACGAACGATCCTCCAAGAAATGAAACAACAAGGTCCATGAATCTCAATATACACTAGTCTCAGAATGCCGATTTCTGATTCTCACAGTTTACGCAGTTGAAAGAATAAATAAGTGTTTTTCAATACAATTTTCTTTTGTAACTTTAATTAAAGAAATAGATGTCTGTACGATTGAAATACCTTGTATGACACCGTTACACACAGTTACGTGTTAAGTCGAAGAAATTAATACGCCGAGGAAGGATCGATGTATGAGTCGTCCGCCATTCTAAAAGTATATAAACCACAGCAATTCCTTAGTTTGAACAACGCTGTCAACTGTCAACTCGCGATTTGCGCAATCGCTAAGAAATAAGGTAAGGAACGAGGTATGTGATTAATTTGATTTGATTTCTACCAGATATTAAATGTTTAGATAGATGAATCATTCTGGTTACACTGGCATTCAAAGTTAGGCAAAACTATAGATAGTTCACTTGTACTCACCTAGTTACGCTGACGATACGTCAGCTTAACAAGAGCGAAGAACTTCCGGGCTTCGTTTTCGGTAAGATATTTTTATTTCTCGATTCTACACCACTGATGAGTCAAGTTGTGGACAATAATTTGGCTCAAAGTTAAGGAAGATAGTCTAGTTGAGAATATCCCTCGCTTTTGTTACGTTGACGATCTTCATGAATATTGTCACATTGGCAATATTCATGAAGATCGTCAACGTAACAAAGGCGAGGGACTAAATATGTAAATTGCGTCTTCGTTAATATACCAAACATAGAACCGCCTGCATATTCTCGTCAGCGTAACTAGGTGAGTACCAGTGTAGTTGGCACAATCTGTATATGTGATTTTCATTTTTAATATGTTGTCTTTTCTTACCTCGATTTAGCGCATATATTTTCGCCTAGGAGGATGCCATACACTTTATGTCACAACCAGGATGCTATTTTGTCATCCATTGTCTCTAGTGTTTGTAGTAGGAAAAGGGTTCATTATATCAATATTAAAAATCTATTTTTACCGAACCTATAAACATTTTTGTTCATGCGATTGGCCAGATGTCCAATAAGTCAGATGTGCTGTACGGTGGCCGTACGGAGGCTGTAGTTACACATCCACATCATACTGCTTATCCCTATGTTTTATGCTGCATATTTCTCGATTTTGGGAAGCTAGTGCCGTCGTACGGTTGCCGTAGATCAAATGGCTACACTTAGAAGACTCACTCAACAATTTTAGGATTGGTAGATGTCTGACGAATCTGTATCAGATACTCGCAATCCCTTTGATTGTTTTATTCTGTGTTTATAGAACGATGAAGACAACACGTATGGTATGTTGCCTTATGGTTATGATGTTACTGGTGTCAACAGTTACTGGACAACATTATGGAATAATTAAAAGGGGTAATTGTATTTCAACTCACTAGCGTACATAAAATGGTATGTTGCATTATGGTTGTGATGTTACTGGTGTCAACAGTTACTGGACAACGTTTCGGAATCGAATTCAAAGATAAAGGAAAACGAAGTAACTATATTACAAATCATTAGCGTACACGTGTCCTATTATGTTAACAGACTCGCATTAAGATTTTCCAATGTTGAATGTAAAACAACTTGTTTTCTTTTTTGGGGAAATGGGGATTTTAGTAAATGTTCAGTATATGTTTGTTATTCTTATCATTAAATTGCAATTACTTTTCTGAAATAAAGGATAATTTTAGGGGTATCGAACAATGATGATAAAACTACGGGAAATTCAAAAATTTTTGCTGTGGTGTTATCAATTTTCTTATCATCATAATCATTATAGTAAATTATAAAATATAAAATATGAAAAGTCTTGATACAATTGTGTCAGTGCACAATGGTACTTGTTTAAGGCTACAAGTGTTCGATTTTAAAACCAGATTTTTGAAAAACATTCTCAAATATGATTGGATTCTCAAGTTTTTTGTGTAGCTATAGAGTGTTTAATTCAAAAACAGACGTGAACCTGCATTACATCAATGGTCTTGAGATTTAAAGTAACCTAGTTTCCCATCCAGGTATGCTGTAATGTCTCCAAAATGTCCAATGATGTTATTATCTGGAATTGAGATTTATGTCTTGGCCATTAATTAATCATTTCTACCTGGATTGCTGTCAATAATATAATACATCTACCCATTTTTCTGAAATAATTTTGTCAAATATGATGAACTGACTTATTAGGCTAGAAAGCAATGTTTCCTCACTTACTGCCATTTTGA